ATGAGCTGAGTCGAAAAATACAGCGTGTTGACGGTCCTAGATCAAGATTGGGCCCGACAGTCAAAAATCCGGAAGCAATCGCATCATTTTTGTTGAAAGAAATATTTCATGCAATTCCGGAAAAGCCCAATGGCCAAAAATTATGAAAAAAATCGTGTACATGCAGAAAAGATACGTCCATCAAAGAAAAAAATTCAAAGTGGATACTACAATTGGTTTTTGAAATATTCCAACTCAAGGTTTTTAAAAATATCTCAAAATTTCCCAAATTTCATTTTTTCGATTCAGAAAAAAATGGTACGAATTTTCAAAGGGCTAAAACCGCAAAAAAACTTCTGGAGGTCCAACTTGGCACAAGATCTTTTTCGGCGGCTTGGAAAAAACCTTCAAAATTTCACAGATCCAAGATATTAAAAAAAATTAGCTTTTTCAGGAAGTTGCCAACAAATCCACAAAAATTCTGACAGATAAAATTCAATGAGCTGAGTCGAAAAATACAGCGTGTTGACGGTCCTAGACCAAGATTGGGCCCGACAGTCAAAAATCCGGAAGCAATCGCATCATTTTTGTGGAAAGAAATATTTAATGCAATTCCGGAAAAGCCCAATGGCCAAAAATTATGAAAAAAATCGTGTACATACAGAAAAGATACATCTATCAAAGAAACAAATTCAAAGTGGATATTACAATTGGTTTTTGAAATATTCCAATTCAAGTTTTTTAAAAATATCTCAAAATTTCCCAAATTTCATTTTTCCGATTCAGAAAAAAATGGTACGAAATTTCAAAGGGCTAAAACCGCAAAAAATCTTCTGGATGTCCAACTTAGCACAAGATTTTTTTTTCGGCGGTTTGGAAAAAAACCTTCAAAATTTCACACATCCAAGATATTAAAAAAAATTAGCTTTTTCAGGAAGTTGCCAACAAATCCACAAAAATTCTGACAGATAAAATTCAATGAGCTGAGTGGAAAAATACAGCGTGTTGACGGTCCTAGACCAAGATTGGGCACGACAGTCAAAAATCCGGAAGCAATCGCATCATTTTTGTCGAAAGAAATATTTAATGCAATTCCGGAAAAGCCCAATGGCCAAAAATTATGAAAAAAATCGTGTACATACAGAAAAGATACATCTATCAAAGAAACAAATTCAAAGTGGATATTACAATTGGTTTTTGAAATATTCCAATTCAAGGTTTTTAAAAATATCTCAAAATTTCCCAAATTTCATTTTTCCGATTCAGAAAAAAATGGTACGAATTTTCAAAGGACTAAAACCGCAAAAAAACTTCTGGAGGTCCAACTTGGCACAAGATTTTTTTTCGGCGGCTTGGAAAAAACCTTCAAAATTTCACAGATCCAAGATATTAAAAAAAATAGCTTTTTCAGGAAGTTGCCAACAAATCCACAAAAATTCTGACAGATAAAATTCAATGAGCTGAGTCGAAAAATACAGCGTGTTGACGGTCCTAGACCAAGATTGGGCCCGACAGTCAAAAATCCGGAAGCAATCGCATCATTTTTGTTGAAAGAAATATTTAATGCAATTCCGGAAAAGCCCAATGGCCAAAAATTATGAAAAAAATCGTGTACATTCAGAAAATATACATCTATCAAAAAAACAAATTCAAAGTGGATATTACAATTGGTTTTTGCAATATGTATTTCTATTCAAGGTTTTTAAAATATATCTTAAAATTTCCCAAATTTCATTTTTCCGATACAAGAAAAAAATGGTACGAATTTTCAAAGGGCTAAAACCGCAAAAAATCTTCTGGAGGTCCAACTTAGCACAAGATTTTTTTTTCGGCGGTTTGGAAAAAAACCTTCAAAATTTCACAGATCCAAGATATTAAAAAAAATAGCTTTTTCAGGAAGTTGCCAACAAATCCACAAAAATTCTGACAGATAAAATTCAATGAGCTGAGTCGAAAAATGCAGCGTGTTGACGGTCCTAGACCAAGATTGGGCCCGACAGTCAAAAATCCGGAAGCAATCGCATCATTTTTGTCGAAAGAAATATTTAATGCAATTCCGGAAAAGCCCAATGGCCAAAAATTATGAAAAAAATCGTGTACATACAGAAAAGATACGTCCATCAAAGAAAAAAACTCGAAGTGGATACTACAATTGGTTTTTGAAATATTCCAACTCAAGATTTTTAAAAATATCTCAAAATTTCCCAAATTTCATTTTTCCGATTCAGAAAAAAAATGGTACGAATTTTCAAAGGACTAAAACAGCAAAAAATCTTCTGGAGGTCCAACTTAACACAAGATTTTTTTTCGGCGGCTTGGACTATTTTTTAGCGCTGTTTTATCTATTGAGACTTGTTCAAGCGCAAAAACGATGCTCTGGATTGTTAACAACACGTAAAACAACTAATTAGTCCAGGTAGTGACAAAACTGATCTCGAATTGACCAATAGGAGTTCCTTTTTTTAATTGACACTTTGGGTTATCGAAAATCGTCAAAATAAAATGCTCCTATAGCCCTATAGGTGTGGTTTATGAATCCGTGTTAAGTTTTTTCCCGAGATATCCGAGGATTTTTTAGTGTCCAAAAAATTAATCTTGAAAATTTTTGTGAATATAAAACGTTAACTTTTTTTTTGCGAACTTTTATTTATGATAAAGTTGAAAAATCGAGAAATTTGGAAACCCGGATATTCTAAAAATTTTGAGATCTAAAAAATTCTGTAATTGAAACATCGAACAATTGAAAAATAGAAATAGTTAGAAAAATTGTAAAACTGTAAAACTGAGAAATCAAAAACATATAAAATTGAAATTCGAAATTTTCAAAAATTAAGGCTCGAAGCATTGGAAAATTGAAACAATGAAATTCGGATGTTGAAAAATCAAAAAAGTGTAAAATCGATACCTTCAAAGAGAAATAATTGTTAAATACTTACTTATTAAACAAAAAAATTTTAACTGAAATTTTGAACAAATGAAAATTCAAAAATTCAAAAATTGTGATACGTATTACAAAATTGAAAATTTTGATAATTGTAAATTTTAAAATTTATTAAACTGGGGTAATTGAAAAATCAAAAATTTAGAAATCGTACAGCTTTGAAAATGGAAAATTGTAAAATAGTGAACTGAAAAATTGAAAATCTGGATGAAAAAGGACGAAAAAGGACGATAAGTCGGGAAAAGGACGACAAAGGACGAATAAAGACGAAAAAGGACGAAAAAGCATAATAAGGACGAAAAAGTACGAATAAGGACGAAAAAGGACGAGAATGGATAATAAGGACGATAAAGGACGAAAAAGGACGAAAAGTAGGAAAAAGGACGAAAAAAGAGGAAAAGGTCGAATAAAGACGAAAAAGGACGAATAAGGACGAAAAGGGACGAAATTGGAAAATTTAAACAACGAAATTCGCATACGTAATAGAAAAAACAAAAATTAATTAATTGAAAAAACGAAGAATCAAGATTGAAAATTAAGAAACTGAATAATTAAAAACCGAGTATTCGAGACATCCAAAAATTTTAAATGTAGAACTGAAAAATCAGAAAAATGTAAAATCAAAAAATTGAATAACTGATACCTTTAAAAAAATTATGAAATATTTACTTATTAAAACAAAAATTAAAATAGAAATTTTGAACAATTTAAAATCAAAAAATTCAAAAAATACATATTACAAAATTGAAAAATTTTATAATTGTAAACTTTTAAATTCACTAAACTGTTAAAATGAAAAATTGGAAAATTATTAAATTAAATGTAATTGAAAAAACAAAAATTCAATAAGTGAAAAAACGAATAATCAAAATTGAAAATTAAGAAATTGAATAATGAAAAACCGAATAATTGAGACATCCAAAAATTATAAAAATGTACAGCCGAAAAATCAAAAAAGTGTTAAAAAATTTCACAGATCCAAGATATTAAAAAAAAAATAGCTTTTTCAGGAAGTTGCCAACAAATCCACAAAAATTCTGACAGATAAAATTCAATGAGCTGAGTCGAAAAATACAGCGTGTTGACGGTCCTAGACGAAGATTGGGCACGACAGTCAAAAATCCGGAAGCAATCGCATCATTTTTGTTGAAAGAAATATTTAATGCAATTCCGGAAACGGCCATTGGCTAAAAATTATGCAAAAAATCGAGTATATACAGGAAAGATAAATCCATCAAGGAGAAAAAATCAGAGTGGATACTGCATTTGGTTTTTGAAATATTCCAGTTCAAATTCAAGTTTTTAAAATATCTCAAAATGTACCATATTCATTTTTCAGATTTTGGAAAAATGGCACAAATTTTCGAAGACCAAAGTCCGTAAAAAACTTCCGGAGGTCGAATTAAGATGGGAAATTTTTTGGGTAATTTTCTACGGTCTTCAGGAAAAGGTCAAAATTTCAATACCTCCAGAACACCAAAAAAATTAAACTTCTTGACGAAGTATCCGAAAAATCTACAAAAATTCGGGCAGATAGATTTCAACAAGCTCATTCGAAAAATATGGTGTGTTAATGGTCCTGGACCAAGGTTGGAGCCGAAAATCAAAAATCCTGGAGCAATCGTATCAAAAATTTTTTTAAGGAACTATTTATCGCAATTCCGGACTCCGACACTATGTTTAAAGAGCCATTCCTGCATTTCACATTTTTTACTAGAACCGAATGATACGGTCTAAAACCACACAATTTTGAAAAATTCTCCCGTCCATCGTTTGATGCCTATGAGAAAAAAAATTAAAAAATATTTCCCAGTGTATTTTTACATTACAGGAAATATGTTCGAGACCCTCATAGTTAAAGAAATATCGAAACTGCAAAAACATGTTTTTATTGGGATTTTTTGTTGGGTGTAATAATTCTGATCCAATAAATGAAGTAGAAAAGTGGCAAGCTCAAACCTGGACTACTGACAGACATAAAACTAAATCAGTTTATCCAACTTAACGAAAAAATATCAAAGCCTACTTTACTATATAAAGATCGTAAATGGATAATAAAATCACAATCGTAAAATTTCAGGCAAGAAAAACCGCCATTCTAGCCCACCTGCTAATCGCCGATAATCACTTATCACAAGAGCTGCATTTCACGGTACTTTGCAAATTCTTACAACCCAGAAATTAATCCCGTTGTTACAGGTAGTAAATTTCTCTCTCCAATTAGCCCACAACGACGTCCGTTTTACAGCTTGCAATTTTTTCGCAATCGATGAATCACTAATTCGCTCGGTAAGAAAAACCGGAATTGATTCGTAATAGTTGTGACAGGTTTTAGCCACAGTGTGCTCGTACTTGGTGATTATATTCCAGTTCGAGTTCGACGTAAAAAAACACCATAAAAACAAACTTCAAGTACAATAATTTATTTGCTACTTTTGCAGTGTCGCTCCGAATTGCAATATTATAATACTGAACGTAGCCACAGCACCTAGAATCTACACCACAATGACACCATTACCGCATTGTTGCTACTCACCGTGCGAAATAAAGCCTCGTCGATCGTGAACAGGTTAAAACACGTGAAATTAAGCTTGTCGTGTTTGGAGTTGAGCACGAAATTCCACACCTAAAATTAAGTTTGATTTGTGGGTAGTTGGTTTGAATGCTTACCCTCATGGCGACAAGCCGCGACTTTAGTGGGAGTTGGAGTTGGAGGGTGGCCAGTCGATTCGCCTCGCGAGCAGTCCAGGTACAAGTTAAAGTGAGTAGTGCGATATACACGACGTTAGTGAAAGCACTACTCACTTCTTTGACTTGATCAATCAATTTTTTGTCTTCGTGCGAATGTATAAAGTGACCATCGAGCATCAAGTGGACTGTAGTCGTCAAAGAAACCGCTGCTTTCAAAATTATGATTAAATTCATCGGTGCGTAGTTTTTTTGTAGTGTAGTAGCGATATTACGAATTTTATTGTGGATTGTACTTAATGCGTCTATGTAGTGAGTTGCAGATTTTTCCTTAGTTCTGAAACAACACGCAATGTAAGGTTTGTTTAACGACTTAAGTAAAGTGTACTTAAATAAGTGATCCTTTTTGTATTTGTTGTAAAATTCGATAAAGTCTTCATTAATCCACTGAAATCGTAGTTTTAATAGCCACGTCACGAGTGAGAATTGGTGTAAAACAATCCCCGAATTTAGTGTAGCTACTGTAGTAACAACAAGAAAACAGACATCGTGCAGTTGTACGTAGTTAATAATCAAGTAGTAAATGTAGTGTATAATTTGACACACTACAACTATTTTAAAATATTTGTCACACTTGTGCGACTTTAGTTTCACGTTGACTGTTTTCAAGCGTTTGAGATCGTCGTCAATTTCTGAGATTCGTTGCAGGAGGCAGATGTTCTAGAAAATGATCGTCAGTCTGCAGTCACACTCGATTCAAACTAAAACTTTTTGACTGGTTGACAGTGTGGTAACCGTGAGCAACACTAGCGTTGCTACTCTTGTAAAAGTGTTAAGAGTGGTCACAGTTTCCACCATCCATTGCTCCTTAGTAATGACAACGGTACTTGACTGTGATAAATAAAAAACGAGACAAAGTAGGTACAAAATGAACAAACTAAAGCACCAAAGCCACCCCCACACACTTTTCGTGTACCCCTTTCTAGTGTCTAGGTTTAGCCCGCACAAACCGAGGATTTTAGACACCAAAAAAATCGGATACGCGGACTTGTAGACGTAATGGCTTTCCATATTGTAAATACGTTACAAAATTGACAGAAAGATTAGTAATCGTTATTATAAATGAACATAGATAATTACAGTCGGGGAAATCTTTATCAAATAACTAAACAATACATTGTGTGTGTGTTTATAATCGATTTAATACTAGTCTTGATACTGAAATTGTACCACAATGACCAAGTAGGTGGTAATTGCCCCAATTACCTACAAAAACACGTAAAACAAAATCGCTATTTTTTCCACTCACCGAAAATAGCAGCGTTTCGTCTAGAACGAAAACGTGACAAGCGGAAAACTCGACGTTGTACTGCAACAACTGAAAGGAAAAGTGCATCATCTACAAAACACAATTAAAAATAGTTTTTTTGGGGGCGAAGTCGTACGAAAGTTTCCACTTCGTCGGTCCTGTCCCGGATTGCGTGCAGCACCTCGCTCGTGAACTTTGCCTACAACTTTCAAAATTAGACCGAGTGTCGACGTCCGCTAAGTCGAATTTCATACTTCGTTGGTGGCGCGGGACGCCGCCACCACCATAGTCAGCAAAATTGCGCAGTTGATAAGCCCGTTTAAACCATAGTAAACGGAGTACAGGACCGGCTTTTCCCCTTTTCGTTTCGAGTTACTTACAAAATAAAAGTACATGGTGAAAGTAATCGAAATGAAGAGGTTCAAAGACGTGGTTAAAATCGGGAGGTTGTAGATGTGGTTGAGGTTCTCGCTAATTCCGCACAACTCGTAATGACGTCGACGCAGACTTTCCAAATTTTGGGAAGTTTTTTCCGAAATTAACATGTTCCGGGAGATGAAGGGGGATATAGACCGGACTTTTGGTGGCGTCTCGACGGGGTTTTCTTTGTTAAAGTCGTGCCAAGTTTCCTGAATTTGTCGCAATTTGAGGTTGATCCACTTGAATTTTTGTTTGATTAGTAGCGCCATCGTGGCGAATTGCAAAATCATGATGATCATGGTGATCAACGGATAAACGTAGGCGACAATTTCGGAACCTACACTGGAAAAAGTCACTTCTTCGACAAACAAAACAACATCTATAACAACGTAAGTGACTATTAACAAAATCGCTACTAGAACCGCTATAATTGTATATTTTTTTGAAACGGCGTACTCTTTAGTAATGTCGAAGGGTCCTCCCACTTGGTGAATTTTTTTATCAAAGTGGCACAACTTCTGGAGAAGATTGTCAAACTAGAACAAAAAAAATATATAAAAGTTGATTTTTCGTGTCACGTTAGTACTTTATTTCTTGTAAAAGTACTGGTCAAAGCGATGACGACGCTGTTGATTATCGAAACCGACATATATATCAAATCGCCAACTTCCATGATCAACTCAGAAGTGACTGTAGGTGTAGCAGCTATCTTTATCGTACAACAGGCATAAGTTGTAAGAAACGTCACAATGAAAAGAGACCACACTAAACCCAACGTATTCGACAAAGAATGTTGGACGGGTTGTTTCTTCGGGGCGTTTTCGATTTTGTTTGTGTGAAGACCGAAGATTTTTGAAAAAATTAATAGTGGTTGGACGACCCCATACACGTTTGGTGTTGTCGCAGACATGATTAAATATTTTAATGAAAAATGTTCTGCGTCGTTACTAATAATTCATCGAACGTGACACTTTTTTTCATAGTAAATTAAAGGGTCAGAATATTTGAAAAGATTTATTATTTGGACAACAACCCAACGTTCTCTAATTGGAAAATAATATCTATTTGTGTAAGTTATTTACCGAGTTGGACGGAAATTACGGTGATTGCGGGTGTGCTTGAAAATTTCCGTCTGTCAATAGAGTTTGTTATTCATTTAATTGTAGCTGGATAACGATGAGCAAATATGTAGATATTGCACTAACCATCTGAAACAAAATTTATATTGGTACTTGGAAAAAAATTGTTGTTGTTGTAATTACCGAAAAGAGTAAAGTTTCGTCTATTTTGAACACCCGGCACGCGGAGAACTGGAAGTCGTTGTCCATCAGTTGTATCGAAAAAAATTCAATCTAGAAACGTACAATCACAAACGAAAATATTGTCACAAGAGTCATACAAAATCGTCCAATTTTGAAGACGTTTTTTGAAAAGTGTGTAAAATGGATCCTGTTTCTTTGGCCTGGTCTCTAGTTCGTGACGACGTTTTCGTGATGGCTACAATTTTACAACAGTTCAGCAAAATCACGATTACGTCGAACACGTTGTACAAAACTCTAGAGTGACCATCTTTCAAGGGTTTGGAGTCCTCGATGTGCAAAAAAGACGTGACGATGACCACTATGAAAATTTGGAGCGTCGTTAGTAGCAGTGGAAGCGAAAAAACTTTGTTCAGGGTTGACCCCAAAGTGCACAGGGTGTCGTGTTTGCGTCTTAAGTTATCCAAAAGGGTGACAATAATGTCGCTATCTTTGGAATTAGGTTCTCTGAAATAATACACTTAAATAATAAAAAAGTAGTGAAAACTGGTCTTACTGTGTATGCAGTCCGTTTAAGTGTTGCTGTACTTCAATCAATTTTGTGTTTATCCAGACAAATCTGTGTTTTAATAGATTAGTGAAAACGCAGAACTGCGTCGCTATTAAAAGCCCCGTTATGAACGGGTAGCAATAAGCCACTGCATCCCCAATCAAAATAAAGCTAACTTCCTTCATGTACAACGAAGAGTCGAACCAGACGTACAAACAAATCACAACAATAACCAACAGCGTTAAATACTGCACCAGAAGTTTGTTCCCTCTGTACGTTTCCTCTTTCAAATTTGAATCAACCTTTTGAAAACTCTTATCAAATCGGTTTAGCTTCTCCAAGAACACCGACATCTACAACACTATGTACCGCGTGTTCGGTTTCCAAAATCTACTCACCCTTTTCCGCATCAACACCAGAAACAAGTTGGAAATCGCGCAATTTATGAACGAAACGCAAATTTGTAAAAAGTCTGCGATTGTGAGAAGTTCGCTTTTGAAGTTCACTTTTCGGTACGAAATGCCATAACTTGCGTGGGAGATGCAGTAAATTACCACGAAGACGCTCCAGAGGGTGCCGATTGTGCTGCATCTGTCGCCTTTTTTGGGGTTGGTTCGTAGAGAATACGTGCCGAAAAATTTGAACAGGTAGGTACAGGGTTTTAGCGTGTCGTCGATGGTGTGGAACATGTTGGGAATAACAAGGACTTGTGTATGGTCGATTCGGTGTTTTGTGGATGAATTATAAATGAACGTGGGTTTAGTTAAGTAGTCAAGGAAGTAAACAGTGGTCAAGTTGTAATAAATAAAATAAAACAAATATTCGAGTTTTATATAAGACTTTCCTCCTATTCTCTCAATTCTTCACATTTTTCATCTCCCTCGTTCAAACATATCCTAGACTTTCTGTCAGTTTCATCCATCCAAAAATTATTCTCTTTCTCTCTCTGTGTACTTTTTTTCGTTTCTTCAGTTCTATAATTTTGTCAGATAAATGTTATATAAATTAAAAAAAAAGTAACAGCGTACCTATGGTCTATGAATCCTTGTTGAATTTTTATCTTCGACATCGAAATTTTTGTGGAAAAATTGAATTACAATTTTTCGATTTCTTGATTTCTCGATTTTTAGTTTACTTAATTTTTCGATATTTTAGTTTTACAATTTTTGCAATTTAAAAAAAAATATTTTTACATTTCTCAATTTCTCTATTAATCAATTCTTTGATTTTTCGATTTTTCCTCTTTCCAATTTATCGATTTTTCAGTTTTTCGATTTCGCAAGTTTTCGTTGTTCCAATTTTTTAATTTAAAATTTTTCACTTTTTTGATATATCGATTTCTCGATCTTTCGATTTTTAAAATTTCTGATTTTTCGAATTTTGAATATTTTGATTTATCGTTTTTTTTTAAGTTTAAATATGTATTTCAGTTTTAAATTTTCCGGCTTTTCGATTTCTCCATTTCTCGGATCTTTTGATGTCTGAATTTTTTAATTTCGATTTCTCGGCTTTTCCATTTTTCAATTTTTTATTTCTTCAAGTTTTTAGATTTTTAAAATTCTCCATTTTTCGATTTTAGGTTTTGTTATGCTTCGATCTCCCGATTTTAACATTTTTAACGTATATTCCAATTTTTCGATTTTGGAATTTTCGATTTCTTACATCTCGATTTTTCGTTTTTTCGATTTTAAAATGTTTTTACTTTTCGTTCTTTTTTTCGATTCTGGATTTTTCAAGTTTTCGATTTCTCAATTTTTCAACATTTCAATTTTGAGAATGTCTATATTTTTCATTTTTTTGATATTTTCATTTTTCAACTTTTTAAATTTTGATTTTTCGACTTACCGGAAATCGATTTTTGGGTTTTTCAATTTTTCGACTTTTCAGTTTTGAGATTTTTCAGTTTGTCGATTTTTTGGTTTTTCATTTCTTCAGTTTTTCGGTTTTTCAAGTTTTCAAATTTTTAAATTTAAAATTTTTCAATTATTTTGATTTTATTTTTTTTACATTCCGAATACATACCCGATTTTAATTTTTTTTTTGCTTTTCAATTTTTGGTTCTTCTAAATTTTCATTTTTCCATTTCTCAATTTCTCGATTTTTCGACTTTTTGATTTTGTGTTTTTTTTTAATGTTAAATTTTTCGTTATTGTAATTTTTCTATTTTTTAAATTTTAGATATTTAGATTTTTCGACATCTTGAATTCTCGATCTCTTTTCAGTTTGAATTCGGTTTTTCGATTTTCCAAAATTTCGATTTTTCAATCTTTCGATTTTTGAAAATTTTCGATTTCTCGATTTTTCAGTTTTTGATTTTCCAACTTTTAGATGTTTCAAATTTTAGAGTTTGCAAATTTCACGAGTTCACAGTTTTTAATTTCGTCAATTTTTCGATTTGCAATTTTTCCTGTGGGTTTTTAATTTTCTTTATTTTTTCAATTTTCTGCTTTCAATTTTCCGTTTTTTTAATTTTTCTTTTGCAGTTTTTCTAGTTTTCATTTTAACTATGTAACACTCCTAATAATTATAATTTTTAAAGTTGTTCACTTTTTCAGTTTTTCGTTTTTGGAATTTTTCAATTTTTCGGTGTTTGAATGTCACAGTTTTTGGACTTTACAATTTTCAAGATTCTATAATTTTTCGATTTTACAATTTTTGGATTTTCCAATTTTTCAATTCGAATGGTTTTTCTTCTTTCCCATTCTTCGATTCATTAATTTTTTTTTTAGATTTTTTAAGTTTCTCGGTTTTTAGTTTTTCATTGTTTCAATTTTTCATTGTTTCGAGTTTTTAACTTTTTAACGAATAAGCAAAATCGAAAAATTATAAAATAGAAAAATTGTAAAACTGAAAAAGTACAAAATGAAAGCTTCGAAATATAAAAAAATTAGAAATCAAGAACTTAAAAAATCAAAGATTGAAAATGTAAAAAACTGAATAAACAAAAAATTATAAAATCTAAAGAAACATTGAAAAAATAAAGATAATGGAAAAATGAAAAACTGTGATATAAAATCAAGAAAATGAAAATTACAAAATCGGGAAAATGAAAATATCGAAAATCTGAAAAATATAGAAATTGAAAAATTCCCAAAATTGCGATGTTTAAAATTGAGATAACGAAAACTTAAAAATCGAGAAATCGAAAATTCCAAAAATGGAAAAATTGAAACACATTAAAAAATTAAAATCGGGAAATCGAAACATAAAGGTTATAAAAGGGAAAAATGAAAAATTAAAAAAATCGAAAATTTAAAACATATACTAGAAAAATCGAAAATTTTGAAAATCGAAAAACCAAGAAAACGAAATCGAAAACTTGAGACTTCAAAAGATCGAGAAATCGAAATTGGCCGAAATCGGAAAATTCAAAGTTGAAATATTTACTTAAAAAAAAGATTTTTCTAATTTCCGAATAAACAAAATGGAAAAGTTATAAAATAGAAAAATTGTAAAATTGAAGAAACGGAAAATTCAAAAATCGAAAGATTAAAAATTGAGAAACTTAAAGATCGAAAAATTGCGGTCGAAAACACGAAAATTATTGTAAAATCTAAATATTGAAAATTGGAAAATCGAGGAATTGAAAATGTGAAAAATTGAATAAACGAAAAATTGTGATATCAAATCCAGAAAATGAAAATTAAAAAATCGGGAAAATGGTATAAAAAAAAATGAAGAACTTGAAACAACATCATTACGCCGAATATGTTCATTGCGCTACACATAACCTCAATTTAGTCCTTAATGATTCTGTTAAGAATGTACCAGGAATTTCCACATTTTATGATTTAATAAATGCTATACGTCTATTTCAGTGAGAGTTTACCGAGATGGCAACAACAACAGCAACATTGAGATGAAAGAAAATGATAAGTGTGTTATAAAAAAACTTTAAAAAAGTTATGCCCCACCAGATGGTCATCGAGATTTGATTCTCTAATTGCCATTAGATATAATCTCGCAACAGTTATGAGCTGAAATTATTTTAACATCAAAAAAGAAAAGTGAAATAGACGAAGCTGTAGCTCTTCGTAAAAAAATGGATTCATTTGAATTTGTTGCTCTTTGCAAAATTTTAGAAAATGTTAATTTGGTCTCTAAAACTTGACAGAGTTCAAATATTACTTTAGATGAGGCTTGTAAATGGATGGAACATCTAAAAGACAAATTTCAAAGTATACGTGACAATTTTGAACAAATAATGGAAGAATCAAGGAAATGTGCCGATACCTGGAAAATTAACAATTCTTTTTCAAATAAACGTATAAAAAAAGTAAAACTGTTTCATGACGAATTATGTGAAGATACCGTTTTCAAAGATCCCAATGACAAATTTAAAACAACCGTTTTCTATCCTTCTTTTGATATTTTAAATATTCAAATTAAAGATAGGTTTGAAAGCATGAAAAACGTCAGAAACTATTTTTCTTTTCTGGAACCACAGGAAATGTTGAATAGTACAGACGAAGAATTTGTGGAGGCAGCATCAAAGTTGGCAAATAAATACGAAGAAGATATTTCTAGTGCAATCTGTGGGCAAATCGTTAGTTTTAAAAACATTGTTGTTGGTGAAATTATTCAGCAAAAAATAACTAAAATTACTGATATTGCTAAGTTTCTGTTTATGGACAATAATTTTTTAACGGCAGAAAGATCTTTTTCTAGATTAAAATTAATTAAATCATATTTGCGAAGCACGATGAGTCAAAAACGATTAACTAACTTAGCTGTGTTGAGCATTGAGTATAATCAATTAACAATTTTCTAAAATTATTATGTGTATAAATTATTATTATTTGTAAATCTGTGTTATTCGGCGCCACTACTGGTAAACCAGTAATTTCATATTAATTTTATATTACTTTTTAAATTTGGTGTACGAGAGCGCTTACTATAAACTGTCTCTGCAATTTTGTACGCGCTTTTAACTTTACTCTCTACTTTGACTTTCTCTTCTAAAAATGTTGTCACCTTTTCAATTATCTGGTTCTGCTCTAAAATAAATTATATTGTATGTTTTTTGACCCGGTTTAGTCAAGGGCTACTACAAGTCAAAAGGTTTTCAAACTTCATGTATTACTGGTTGCCGCTACTGCTGAGTCATGAATGACCGGCTGACAAATCAGTATTATAATTAAAGTAATTGAAGCTTAAAAAAAATCCGTTATTATTGAAAATTTGTATTTATGTTACGTTGTTTTGAGTGTTTTTGTTTATATAAATGTTTTAATTGAGCAAACAGCTGACTGTATTTTGGGTTGCATATCTTCCGGCAATTGAAATGTCAAATGTCATTGCCTTTGTAAACACTCATTTCGTGGGCATTACTTGCCAATTACTTAATTTTTAGCTGTATTAAGTAATCATTTATCCAGTAATACACTTTTTTAGTAACTGCGTAAGTTTTACTTCGTATTATTGCTTTAACTGTGGGCTGAAAGAAGCGTGGGAGTTGTGATGATGTACATAAATTTGAACATGTTATCAAAAACCGGCACTGATAAGCGTAAATAAATTCGCGTTACTGTTTTAAACGTAAAATCTGTGATCTAGTTTATCAATTTTTTTAAGAAATCACAATGTAAGTATTTTTTTTTTGTGTAGCCAACACAACCTATAATTTTGGGACACGTCAGTCTTTTTTTCTATATTCCAGACTCGTTACCATGAAGACTTACAAGAACTTGATGTTTTTATCGGTTTTTATTTTCTGTTATTGTTTAAAATCGTCGGCGGAAGAAAATGACGACTTTTACAAACTGTTGGGTGTACCTAGAGATGCCACCACTAAAGAAATTAGAAAAGCTTTTAAAAATTTAGCGGTAAAATTGCACCCTGATAAAAACCAGGTACGTTTTAAAATCGTATTTTTAAAATTTTACAGGTGTGTGTTGTAGGATGATGAAGAAGCCGACCAGAAATTTATTAAAATCGCTAGAGCCTATGAAACGCTGAAGGATCCAGATACACGTAAACACTATGATGTGCATGGAGATGCAGGGTCTTCTGATAAAAAACAACAATATCATAGTTACACATATTATCGAGACCAGTTTGGTATTTATGACGACGACCCGCTCATTGTAACTCTGAGCAGAGCAGACTATGGCAAGTTTATTGTTTATTTTATCAATTATTGAAAAAATGTTTCGCTAAACTGGTAAAAAGTGTATTCGCAGATGACCAAGATTTAGTTTAAAGCAAAAACCGGTTTTAGTTATTTGGGTTGGTACCGCTGCACGTGGGCGGGGCTTACATTAGTAACGTCATTGTTTAAGTATATTATAGTTGGACAACCTAATACAAATTTTACTTCGGCTAAATAGTGAGCTTTAGGACAAGGAATCCAGGGGGCGTGGGACAAATTTTTCGTCAACGCGCATTTTCACTACAGTGAGCTAACGTATTAGGTTTATTTTACTCTAAATCAGATGGCGCCATCAAACATTAGCAAAGGCAAACACCCTTTACTCTGCTCTTATACGAGGAGTTATCCATAAATCCATAATTAACATTGTTCCGTAAACAGTAATGTGTATAAACATATATGTACAAAATATGAAAATATACTTGACATAAAAAATATGAAGCAACGCGTTGTAACGTGATAAGAAAGAATTGAATTTAAATGAATTTGACGCATATTTTTATTTGACTATATCTGAAGACTGACAGAAACTTTCCAAGGGTTTTTAAACTGGTATAATTGTTTAGTTTTACAAGATTTAGTAAAATTTAGATTCGTGGTGTTACAAAAATATTAACACAAAATGAAAATATATGTTCAAAGTAAATAACACAATGACATAAACTTTCGGCGTTAACATTACAAATAATTACAAGAGAGAAAAAAACGCATAAAGAACTTAAGAGGCATGTTTGTAATATCGAGTTGTTAAAGGCTGCTTTGAAGACTGTTTGTTTCTATGAAAAACAATTGCTGTTATCGGACATTTTGGTAGATTTTGTTCCAAAAATCCGAGATAACTAATTGTTTCTTGAACTAGTTTCCGTAACTTCTAAAATTTAAAAAGGATACGCCGTTCTGCTGTAATAAAATCTAGAATAAGGTCAAAATCACACTAATATTACATCTGATTTTGTTAACCACATGAATATAATTTACATTAAAGTAAGTTACAGACATTGTTTGAAATGTTTATTATAGTTCGAAAACAAGATAAAATAAATAAATAAATAAAATGTGCAGTTTATAAACTTCAGAATTTTAGTATAAAAATAATCATGTTTGAAGCTTTATTTTGTCTGTTCGATTTTATTGGGTGTATTGGGTCCCTCTCGGGATATAACACCGACATCAGTGCACCGACCCAACGTTCTTCAACCGATGGGATGATTTATTACTTCCGTTATGCTGGCCCTACACACAGCGATTTGGTTTTCGGATTTTCGGCTAGATCTGCACAGTTAACTCTTTGCCCACTGCACACTGACATAGAGTATTTTGTTCAAGCGAGCATCAAAAATATTACGCCGAAAGCACTTCTTCAAGTGTTATTTTTTTTAAGATGTCATATTTGTCAGCGTTTCCAAAATTTTCATTTTTGCACAGGTCAACTAATTTTTCGTAAACCGCATTTTAAAATTTTTGTTATTGTATTTTTTACTTTTTAATTTTCTAAGGCATGAAAAAATCCCATATAGGTTTCTATGAATTTATTAACGAAATCAACTGATAACTTGCGCGCCATTTTGTGTTAATTAACACCAATAGTGATTATGATAATTTTATAATTATCATTTTAATGAAATTGTGTTCTTCACTTCGCGAACGACAGCAAACAATTTAAAATTACCGCTAGTCAAGCACCTGAAAATCCATCTCTCCCAAATATGAGAACTTGTTTGATCTTATGTATAAACCGATATTCGTTAGAGTTGATCTGATACACATCCACTACGAAGAACTAACTCATTTCGACCATTGGACTTTACAACGAAAGTTCTTGAACATCTTAACGATTTAATACATAATGTTCCCGAATGACAAAATTTACATTTCAAATTGTATTATCAAATTACACTCTCCAAAATTTGTCACGAACAATGAAATGACGCAATCTCCAAATTTTACAATAGTAAAATTGTAGTTTCGCCCCGTTTACGGTTTATGCATCCGTGTCGAGTTTTCACCTTAGACGTCAAGATTTTTGAAAAAAAAAATCAACATTTTCCAATTTATAATGTTATTTAAATTTTAAAAAGTAGAATAGTCCTGATCTTGTGATTTATACCTAAATACGCTATTGGGATTTTTCGGCTTGTCGATTTCTCGATTTTTCAACTTTAAATGTCTCAATTTTTCAATATTTCAATTTTGGGCTTTTCCGATTCCTCCATTCCTTAAATTTTCTATTTCTCAATTTTTTTATTTTTCGATTTCTCAATCTTACGATGTTTCAATGATACGATTTCTCAATTTTTGTCCTCTTCAATTTTACGGTTTTTAAATATGTCGATTTTTCAAATTTTCAAATTTTCACGTTTCTAAATTTTCAGTTTTCGATTTCTAAAGTATTTTTTTTATTTGTCCATTTCTGGATTTCCTAAAGTTTCGATTTTTCACATCTTCAATTCCTCAATTTTTCGATTTTTTAAGATTACGATTTTCCAATTTTGCTTTTTTAGATTTTCGATTTCTCAATTTTCGAATTTTTTAAATTCTCAATTTTTTGAATATTTCTTTCAGTTATGAGATTTTTCAATATTTCAATTTTTCGACTTTTCGATTTTTGAATTGATGGATTTTTTTTGATTTCTGGCTTTTTTCCTTTTTGGATTTTCAATTTATTGTAAACTTTAGATTTTTCAATTCTGGGACTGTTTAATGCTTCGATTTCTCAATTTTTAAACTTTTCGATGTTTTAATATTTCATTTTTTTAAATTCTAGGTTTTTCGATATCTCGAGTTTTCAGTTCTTCTATATTTCAATTTTTCAATTTTTCGATTTTTTGAATTTTAATTTTTGATTTTCCAGTTTTTCTTTTTTAAAATTTTTCGATTATTCAATTTTTTAATTTCTCAATTTATCGAATTCAGATGTTTCGTTGTTTTGATTGTTCAATTTCTCAATTTTTAACTTTCCTTTTTGGCTTCCGCCTCCTCAATTTCTCGATCCTCCGATTTTTCGATTTCTCGAAGTCTCAGTTTTTGAATTTTTCGATGTTTCGATTTTTGGATTTCTCGGTTTTTCGATTTTTTTCTTTCGAGCTTTTCAATTTCTGGATTTTCCAATTTTTCAATGCCCCGATTTTTCAATTTTTCAAATTGAATTGGATCTCTCGATTCTTCAATTTTGCGATATTTTAATTATTCATTGTTTTAAATTTTAGTTTTTTCGATTTCTCGATTTTTTGACTTTTCAGTTCTTCAGTATTTAAATTTTTGAATTTTTCAAATTTTTGCGTTAAATTTTCAGTTTTCTGATTTCTCAATTAATCTATTTTTGATTTTCCCACTTCTCAAAGTTTCGATTTTTCAGTTCTTCAATTCTTCGATTTTTCGACTTCGCTTTATTGGTTTGTCGATTTCTCAATTTTTGGATATTTCTTTCAGTTTTGATATTTTTCAATACTTCGATTCTTTCATTTTTCGACTTCTAGATTTTTCTATTTTTTATTTTTGGATTTTCAGTTTTTTGTTTTTTATTTCAATTTCTCAATTTTTCAACTTTTTCATATTTTAATTTTTAAATTTCTAGATTTTTCGGTTTCTGGAGTTTCCAGTTCTATATTTTAATTTTTTAAATTTCCGAATGTTTAAATTTTTTGAGTTCTCAATTCATTGAGATTCGGATGTTTCGATGTTTTGATTATTCAATCTCCCGCTTTATCAATTTTTCCATATTTAAGTTTTCGATTTTTCGATTTTGGCCTACTTCGGTTTCTCAATTTTTTGATTTTTCGACTTCTCCATTTTTCGACTCCTCGATTTTTTTTGTCTTTTGATTTTTCGATTTCTCGATGTCTCAATTTTTGAATTTTACAATGTTTCGATTTTTCGATTTGTTGGTTTTTCGATTTTTTGCTTTTCGGTTTCTCGATTTTTCGATGTTTCGATTTTTGATTTATCCGATTTTTCAATTGTCCAATTTTTTAAATTCTCGACTTCTCGATTCGTTGATTTTTCAGTTTTTCGATTATTAAATTTTAGATTTTTATTTTTATTTTTGATTTTTTGATGTTTGGATTTCTCCATTTTTCAGTTTTAGGATATTTTAACTTTTCAATGTTTTAAATTTTAGATTTTTCGATTTTTCAGTTCTTCAATATTTTTTTATTTTTCAAATTTTGACGTTTCTGAATTTTTAGTTTTCGGATTTCTCAATTAATCTATTTTTTATATTCCCATTTCTCCACTTCCTAAAGTTTCGATTTTTCAGTTCTTCAATTTTTCGATTATTCAGGATTTTGATTTTTCAATTTTTCGATTTTTTAAGTTTGCGATTTTTAGACTCTGCTTTTTTGACTTTTCTGTTTCTCAATTTTTTAATTTCCTAATTTTTTGATATTTCGTTCAATTTTGTGATTTTTCAGTTTTTCGATTTCTCAATTTTAACTTTTCAATTTTTGAAATGATTAATTTTTTTCGATTTTTTGAGTTTTCAGTTCTCTATATATTTCAATTTTTCAATTTTCGGAATTTTTAAATTTTCGATTGTCCAATTTTTTTTTATTTTTCGATTTTCCAATTTTTCGATGTTTCGATTTTTGAATTAACCGATTGTTCAATTTCTCGATTTTTAAATTTTAGATTTTCCAATTTTTATTTTTTTGATTTTTTTATGTTTCGACTTCTCGATTTTACAATTTTCCCATATTTGCATTTTTCAGTGTTTTAAATTTTCGATTTCGAGGATTTACTGTGTTACAGTAGTCATCAGTCATTACTCATCAAGAACGATTATTGCTGTGCGTTAAAATGCCGACATACTGATAAGCACGTACATACAAGACACATTTAAGGCTGTTTTAGTATAATTTTTGCAATTTTAGATTTATTTCTTGACGTCTAAATCGTATATATTTAAATGGTGATGAATATTTTGTGATACAATCTTAGGATAAAATGCATTTTAGTTTCAAAAATAATATGTATTTAATGATTTGACTACTGTTAATAAAAAAAATACGTACGAAGATGTTCATATTGAATTAATTTGGTGTTCATAGTTTGATGATAACTCATAGATATATTACATATATGTAAAGTCTTCAACACGTACGTTTGCTTATTTTGTGACTGCTCCCCGTACAACGTACTGATTAATACGTCCGTTTACTACCTTATCGACATCACGTGCTTACGGACTATTTTTACCCCCTTTCGTAAGGTACCGCCACTTCATAGTGAGGCGAGTGAGATGTAAAATATATATTCATTCTTTTCTACATGGGAAAGTGATTGTCCGTATAGGCTGTCCAACTATAATATACTTAAACAATGGTAACGTCATTAACGTCAAAAGTGCGGGAAATTTAAATCAAATTGAATAAATTCGCGTTTTCAATATATAAACAAGTGACGACTTTTTCAAATTTAAGAGGTCAACATCCTGGATGACAGTCAAGCTTGGTTTGTCAATTTTTATTCGCCGAATTGCCACCACTGCCACGAACTAGCCCCCACGTGGCGGAAATTAGCCTCGGACTTGGAGGGTGTTGTTCGCATCGCTGCGGTTAACTGCGAAGACGACTGGTCGCTATGTTACCAACTCAGTATAGAATCTTACCCAACTTTACTATATTACGAAAAACAGGTACTCTAGTAATTTACATTTATACTCACTATATTGACACGAAAATACCTAGGCGCATCTTCACGAAGGGCAGCGATATCGTGGCCCTAGAACGTTCGATCGTTTGAAAGACTACGTTCTATCACAACTCACGGTCGATGTTAAAGACATCACGACTGAGAGTTGGTCGGACGGGGATTCCCACAAACAGTGGCTTTTGTTTTTGTGCTCGGAGGACGGCTTCGACTGTCCCGAGCACGAAACAAGGCTAAAAATGGCGGCGATTTTGGACGGGTTAATGTCAGTGGGACTTGTAACGTCGCCGCAACTATGTAATAAAATTTATGAAAGTCATAAAACCAACCCCGTCGTTTTGTGGGACAAAAAAAGCGAGTCTGAAGGGAAAGTTCATAATATCGCAGGTTCTGATAGTAAGGAAATCCTCGAAAGTGTGTTGAACGTCTTGCCGAATCCACCCTCTTTGGACGAGCAACAGTTTCAAGTACATAAATATGTCGGTTGTGAAAAGAGGGTTATTTTATTGTGGTTTTAGGAAATAAGGGCTAATTTGAGAAACGGTAACGAGAAGCCGTGGCTTCTTTGTTTTTATTTGGGTACCGCTACTGACCTCAACCTCCAACTGAAGCGTCTTCCAGGCTTAATTCCTTCCATAAACATAGGTACTTTTAAAATTTTCATTTAGTTGAAACTTAGTTCTTTACGATTCTTATAAAAAGGTTTAATCCACTGCGGCAAAAACTCCCCCCTCTGTTCGAGTCTACACATATCCCGGTATCCCAGTTGGGCCGTTTTGAAAGTAGGCGGCGCCTTTGAACTCCACCACGGTAGAGACGTCCTCCACGAAGTCTCCGCGTTTGCCCGCGACAGCGCCAAATCCACCAATCTTCACGCTCTATCACCAGCCGACATCGCCAACATCATGAATGAAGATAGCGCTTGGTTCGTCGACTGGTACGCCCCCTGGTGTCCCCCTTGTCGCAAACTAATGCCAGAACTGCGTCGCGCCAGCCAACATTTCGACCCCGAACAAATCCAATTCGGGACCGTTGACTGTACTTTACACAGACAGTTGTGTTCGCAGCACGGAATCGGCTCGTACCCAACCACCATTTTGTACAATGGTACCCGGACCCAGCGCTTCCATGGCGTGCCCAACGAAGACGGGATTGTCGAATTTGTGAACGATATGCTCACACCGTCTGGTAAATTCTATTTTTTTTTAAGTAGTTGGTTATACTGTTTCGTAGTGATCAGTTTAGATGAGTCGTCGTTCGGATTGTTGATGCGCAAACCCGAAGATGAGTTGTGGGTGGTCGATTTTTTCGCACCTTGGTGTGGACCGTGCCAGAGGTTAGGTCCGGAGTGGCGAAAATTGGCGAAACAGGTAGCCGAGTTCTCTGAAGTTAAAGTAGCCCAAGTGGACTGTGTCGCCAATTCGGAGATATGTAGTGCCCAAAACGTACGAAGCTACCCTACGATAAGATTATACCCATTGGGTAGTAGAGGCTTGAACACTGTGGCGTACGTCCGTGTTCGTGGTTTGTCGACTTTTCTAATTTTGTGTTTTAGAATGTATAACGGCAATCGTGACGTCGTTTCTATGAAGAGATGGGTTTTGAGTTTGCTACCGTCGCCCGTGATTTCAATGAACGCAGAGATGTTTAGGGATCAAATTCTAGCAAAGCAGTCGGTTTTGCCGTGGCTTGTCGAATTTTACGCCCCTTGGTGTGGCCACTGCACGCATTTCGAGCCAGAATTTATGAAAGTCGCTAACGTAAGTCAAAATTGGTGTCATTTCCGGCAAAACTGACTTTTAAGTTTTGTTTTAGAGGTTGGAAGGTTACATTAGGAGCGTCAAAGTCGACTGCGAAGCCGAACGAGTTTTTTGCGCCACGCTGTACATCAATAGTTACCCATCGTTGTTTCTCTACTTGTCTCCAACCGAAAGACATGAAATTTCAACCCAAAGCGCTAAAGAGATTGTCAGTCGTGTCAAGCAGATCGTAAATGATAGACACTCCAAACACGACGAGCTTTAAAAAAATTGATGGTCGTTTTGCTGGTTTTTAGCGAAATTGGTGCCTTTTGGGTGGTTTATTAATGGTTGGTGCTCCTATTTTTAATTTAGGTCGAAAAAAAAAAAATGGAGAAGTTCCTGATGTGTAATTTTAAAATAGTCGCAGAAAAGGACAAGCGTGTGTTTGACAAAGGTGTGTTTTTGTGGAGTAGATGGCCTTGTTGAACTGGCCAACTAGGATCTGGGGTAAAGCATGTTCAAAATGGGAAATTTTTGTAGAGAAATGTGAATTTTGCACTTAAGCTCCGCCTCCCCGGCTCACGACGAATAAAAAAATCATCACAACTGCGATAGGGCGGGTGGGCGGGGCTTATATATTTTTTTATGTGGAGCAAAAACTGGTAGTTATTCAGCTACTAAAAATATTTGTTCACTTGAGAAAAATAATTTACATAGTAGTAGTAAGTACATAATTGATCTATTTTGAAGTTTTCTGATTTTGTAAAAAAATATACGCTGTTCAAAAAAATTAGCGATTAAACCAGTAAGAAACTTAACAAGAAAACATTTATAAATGACGAATTTTTACGAAAAAAAATGTCTTGTAGAGTTTTTATCTGGTTTTGAGCTTTTTGAGGTGGAATTTCAAATGAACCAATGAATTTTGGTTTCAGAAAATTTTCGTTAATTTAAGATTCGATTTCGATGGTTTTTCATTTGTTTTTGTTGCTTGAGAATTTATTACGTATGCAGATTTTGAATTTTAATTTCAAAAATCGGGAAAAAAAAATGTGTTTGCGCTGGTAAGATACATGTGATGAAGTTGAAATAAAAAAAGTGAACTCTTTCGTCAATTTTTCATCTCATACTCGAGAATATTGAAAATTGAAACTTTTGGAAAAATTGTCTAAAAATCCACAAAAATCTGGGATGTAGATCTCGGCAAGTTGAATCGAAAACTATACGATTTTGGCGGTCCCGGACCAAAATTTTCAAAATATGTGCTTTTAAATTCGGATTAAAAAAAAACAAGGCTAAATATAAGCCCCGCCCACCCGCCCGATCTCTTAATTGCAAAATCCATATTTCTCTACAAAAATTTACCATGTTTTAAGTTTCTTGTTTTTTTTAAATATATGTAATCTTTTCATAACAAGATATTGTAATCTCTTCTTTGAACAACACGATACTCAAAAACATGTTTTTTATTTCTTGTAGAGAAATAAGGATTTTGCAGTTAAGCTCCGCCCTCTTAACTCACGACGAATAAAAAAATAATCACAATTGAGATAGGGTGGGTGGGCGGGGCTTATATTTATCTTTGTTTTTGTTAATATTTGTAATTTTCTTTTCATAACAAGAAACTTAAAACATGTTCAAAACGGTAAATTTTTGTAGAGAAATTTGGATTTTTCAATTAAGCTCCCCCTCACGGCTCACGACGAATGAAAAATTCATCACAACCGAGGTTGGGGTGGGTGGGTGGGGTTTAATTTTTACATTTTATTTTAAGATCCCGTTTTCTTTCAACAACAGAATACTTAAAATATCAAATGGTGAATTTGAGGTTAGTAGACTATTTGATATTTCAAATATTCTATTATTGAGAGAAAAGTGCATATAAATATAAGCCCCGCCCACCCGCCCGATCACAATTGTGCTGATTTTTTTTATTCTTTGTTGGCCGGGAGGAGGAGCTTAATTGCAAGATCCATTTTCTCTACAAAAATTTACCATTTTGAACATGTTTTAAGTTTCTTGTTTTTTTTATATATGTAATCTTTTCATAACAAGATACTTTGTAGGGAACTATTGATTTTGCAATTAAGCTTCGCCTGTGGTTCACGATGAATAAAAAAACCATCACAACTAATATAGGGTGGGTGGTGCCTATATTAATGCCCTGTTATTTTTAAATATATGTAATCTATTCTTTGAACAACACGATACTCAAAAACATGTTTTTTATTTTTTGCAGAGAAATAACGATTTTGCAGTTAAGATCCGCCCCCTTAACTCACGACGAATAAAAAAATAATCACAACTGAGATAGGGTGGGTGGGCGGGGCTTATATTTTTCTTTGTTTTTGTTAATATTTGTAATTTTCTTTTCATAACAAAAAACTTAAAACATGTTCAAAATGGTACATTTGTGTAGAGAAATTTGGATTTTGCAATTAAGGCACGCCTCCCGCCCCACTACGAATGAAAAATTCATCACAACTGAGGTTGGGGCGGGTGGGTGGGGCATAATCTTTACGTTTTTTTTTAATACAGTTTTCTTTCAACAATAGAATGCTTTAAATATCAAATGGTGAATTTGAGGTTAGGATTATGTCTGACATTGTATTTTTTCGAAATGTTGGATATAATTCTATCCTCAGATTCTCCATTTGATACCTCAAATATTCTATTGTTGAGAGAAACCTGTCTATAAAGATTAAGCCCCACCCACCCGCCCCTGTCTCAATTGTGATGAATTGTTCATTTGTTGTCAGACGGAGGGGCGGAGTTTGATCCATATTTCTCTGAAAAAGTTTACCATTTTGAACATGTTTTAAGTTTCTTGCTATGAAAAGAAAATTAGATATATTAAAAAAACAAGACCAAACATAAGCCCCGCCCACCCACCCGATCTCAGTTGCAATGATTTTTTTTTTCATTCGTCGTGAGCCGGGAGGAGGAGATTAATTGCAAAATCCATATTTCTCTATAAAAATTTACCATTTTTAAATTTCTTGTTTTTTTTAAATACATGTAATCTTTTCATAACAAGATACTTAAAACGTGTTCAAAAGGGTCAATTTTTGTAGGGAAATATGGATTTTGCTATTAAGCTCCGTCCCCCGGTTCACGATAAATAAGAAAATCATCAGAATTGCGAGAGGGTGGGTGGGCGGGGCTTATATTTATCGTTGTTTTTTAAACATTTCTAATTTTTTTTTCATAACAAGAAACTTAAAACATGCACTTGTTTTTTTTACAAAATGTTGGACATAATTCTAATCTCAGATACACTATTTGATATTTCAAATATTCTATTGTTGCGAGAAAACTGTATATAAAGATTAAGCCCCACCCACCCGCCCCGATCTCAGTTGTGATGAATTTTTCATTTGTTGTTAGACGGAGGGGCGGAGTTTGATTGCAAAATTCATATTTCCCTATAAACATTTATCATTGTAAATATGCTTTAGGTTTCTTGTTAGGAAAAGAAGATTACATGTATTTAAAAAAATCTAGGCTAAATATAAGCCCCGCCCACCCGCCCCTGTCTTAATCGTGATCAATTTTTCATTCGTCGTGAGCCGCGAGGCGGAGCTTAATTGCAAAATTCGTATTTCTTTAAAAAAACTTGAACATGTTTTAAGTTTCCTGTTATGAAAAAAAGATTACATGTATTTAAAAAGAACAAGGCTAAATACAAGCCCCGCCCACCCGCCCTATCGCAGTTGTAATGATTTTTTTTTATTCGTCGTGAGCCGGGGGTGGAGCTTAATTGCAAAATCCATATTTCTCTATAAAAATTTACCATTTTTAAGTTTCTTGTTTTTTTAAATATATGTAATCTTTTCATAACAAGATACTTAAAACATGTTCAAAAGGGTCAATTTTTGTAGGGAAATATGGATTTTGCTATTAAGCCCCGTCCCCCGGTTCACGATGAACAAGAAAATCATCAGAATTGCGAGAGGGTGGGTGGGCGGGACTTATATTTATCTTTGTTTTTTTAATATTTCTAATTTTCTTTTCATAACAAGAAACTTAAAACATGCACTTGTTTTTTTTTACAAAATATTGGACATAATTCTAATCTTAGATACACTATTTGATATTTCAAATAATCTATTGTTGAGAGAAAACTGTATATAAAGATTAAACCCCACCCACCCGCCCCGATCTCAGTGATGAATTTTTCATTTGTTGTCAGACGGAGGGGCGGAGTTTGATTGCAAGATTCATATTTCCCTATAAACATTTACCGTTTTAAATATGCTTTAAGTTTCTAGTTAGGAAAAGAAGATTACATGTATTTAAAAAAATACAGCTAAATATAGGCCCCGCCCACCCGCCCCTGTCTTAATTGTGATGATATTTCTCTTCAAAAATTTACCATTTTTGTAAGTTAATAATAATAATAATAATAATAATAATAAGTTTCTGTTTTTTTTTTTTAATATATGTAATTTTTTCATAACAAAGTACTTAAAACATGTTCAAAATGGTCAATTTTTGTAGGGAAATATTGATTTTGCAATTAAGCCCCGCCCCCCGGTTCACGATGAATAAAAAAATCATCACAATTGCGATAGGGTGGTTGGGCGGGGCTTATATTTATCCTTGTTTTTTTAAATATTTGTAATTTTCTTTTGATAACAAGATACTTAAAACTTGTTCAAAATGGTCAGTTTTTTTAGGGAAATATGGATTTTGTAATTAAGCTCCGTCTCGATTCACGATGAATAAAAAAAATCATCACAATTGAGATAGGGTGGGTGGGCGGGGCTTATATTTATCCTTGTTTTTTTAATATTTTTTGTATTTTTTTTTGATAACAAGAAACTTAAAAAAATGTACTAACAAACCGTAATACAAAATCCATTTTTATCTGTAGTAACCATAAGCACACGATTTCTAAAGTTATTATTCAAAATTTAATAAAACCAGTTCTGAATAGCATCCAAAAACAGATACAACAGATCTTAGTAGGTCATGGCCAGGAAGTCAGACTTGACAGATAAAAACGGCCTACTATGTTTCACGCTGTGAAAGCACAATTTGTCAAACCACACTTGCTGTCAGTATTTGTGTTTGTAGTTAATTAGCGAGCTTTTTCATTTAAAAGCGAACGAGCTTTCACTCTTTTGCCCTCTGAAGGAATCTCAACGCGAATCTCAACCAGTGCTTAGAATAATATACAAAGCTAAAACCAAATATATTTTTGATGTGTTTTATACCGGCTATGTACATAGACTAACTCGAAGTATATAGGTATTATAAAAACGTATGTAGCGAATGTGCATGAAAAATAAATCGATGAGAATGAGATTTTTGGTCACTCTGGGTAACAGTACGACTTTGACTTGGGTTTCCCGTTTTGGGCGTCGTTGAAAGTAGTGACGAGGGAGGCAGGAAAGCCACCACCAAAAATAGCGTTAATAATATCTTGAATCTCCTGTGAAAAAACAAAGAGGTGTGAAATCCAACTAATGTCTTTTGGAGTACGTACATCTTGTAGCGCTGCATCGAACATGTCCTCCAGTTCCCGCCAAACAATCTTCAGAGCTTCAGGAACTATATCTGTTACGACTCTGTTGAATAGGTCCTCCAGCTCGTCGTCGCCCATAAGTCCAGAGAAATGGTTCTGAAACTATCCCGTAGTTAGATTTCTATGGCGCTCGCTACTCACTCGTATCTCTTGTAGGTCGATCTCTAAATTCACAGGGAGGCATATTCCATCCGACGTTATGTTAATAGTGCAGTTGACCATCGCGAGCGACAAATTATGTAGTTCGACCCTGCGAAAATCAAACAAGTATACATATTTGATGACTAGTAACCAGTGATGAGTTTGTATACCTACCAGAAATTTCCGTCTCCGTACACGTCAAAGATGTCCGCCAGGTCCCCGGTTACATTGTAAACACCTTCCACTCTTACATTGTGGAACGTGAGATTAAAAACGTCAAATTGGTAGTGACCAGGGTCGGGAATTATATTTTCCAAAAAACATATTCGAAAATCGAGCAAGTTGTAGATTTTGACGTCATCGATGGGCCCCACTAGCCTACAACGGGTTTGTGTGGTATTTTAACTTAGGTATTGTGAATTTGCGTACCTAATAGCAGGATGGGTGATATTAAGGTCTACGTGTTCGATTACCGCATTAGGCTCGTCTGCATCAGCTTTGATTTTTTTTGAAGCATCGTTTACAATGCTTTTAAATACGTCATCAGCGCTTGCACCTGCAATAAGTTGGTAATTAGGTTAAGTGTTTTAAATAGCAATTATTGTACAAGTACATATTTTATCAAACGAAGGCTAGAGTATAGTAAAAGTACGTTGTACCACTTACTTGTTGCGTCAGACGATTGTGTGGGAATACACACATAAATTGTGGCTTCTGCTGTAGCCAGCGCACCCAAAAAGAACAACAACAACTTAACGTTATTCATTTTTTAATTAATTCCAGACGGTGACAAAATGCGCTTTTATATCACACTATTTTGTGATGAAGTGCTGATAATGATAACAGACAATGATAAACAGCATATTTAACTGACATATTGTAGTGCTTTAGATATCAACATTTACATAGAAATACAATGAGGAGATGCTCAAGCAGTTTTAGCAATTTCCTCATTAGTATCTACATATTATAAATAGCGATTCTGACGTAACCACAACTGCACTTTGTTCCGATGCTTGTTATTCTTTGTTGTGTCACAACAAATGTTCAGTTGATTCCACGTACATTTCGACTTCCAGTAGTTATTTCTTTAAAGATAGCCACCATTTATTTTTCCACAATTTACTATATGAAATATAACAATTTTTTAGAATTTCAATATTTACAACGAATAACATCATTATGATTGAGATGGACTTTTTTTTCTGGATATACGTAACAATCTTTTCACGACAATGTATTTAAAACGTTTAAAATGGTAAATTTTTGTCGGGAAACATCATTTTAGAGCGAAGCTCCGCCCTTCGGTCTGACAACCAATGAAAAATTCGTCAGAATTGAGATTGGGGTGGGTGGGTGGGGCTTATTTTTTGCCTTCTTTTTTCTTGACATAATATAGTCCCCTTTCAAAAAAAATGAAAAATTAAAATAATCGAAAAATTGAAAATCTGAAAAATCGAGAAATCTAAAAATGGACAAATTTAAAAAATCGAAAAACAAAGATGTCAAGAAATCGAAACAAAAAAGTCGTAAAACCGAAAAATTGAAAAATAGAAGTACCGAAGAACTGAAAATCCAAAAAGTTAAAAAAAAATGAAAAATTTGAAAATCTAAAAACGAAAAATCGACTTTTCAATTTCTCTATTACTCCCATGTTTCAGTTTTTTAATTTTTGGATGTTCCGATTTTTTGATTTCTCGCTTTTTCGGCTTTGCAGTTATTAGATTTTTCGATTTTTCAGTTATTCAGGTTTTCGATTTCCCAATTTTTCGTCATTTTGGTTTTGGAATTTTTCAATTTATCCATTTTTAGTTTTTTGTCTCCTCAGTTTCCCAAATTTTTCAAATTTTCGATTTTTTTATTTTGAATTTTTCGATTTCTCGATTTTTTGATATTTTCGTTTTTTATATTGCATCAATTTTTTTTAATTTAAATTTATCAGTTTTGTATTTTTAAATTTTCAGTTTTTGACTTTTCGATTTTTCGGTTTTGGGTAATTTCTATTACTTCTCGACTTTCCAATGTCTCTATTACTCGATGTTTGAGTTTTTTCAATTTTTGGATGTTGCGTTTTTTTGGTTTATGGCTTTCTCGATTTTTCGATTTTTTTTTCAGTTTTTCCATTTCTCAATTTTTCGTCATTTCAGTTTTGGACTGTTTCAATTTATCGATTTTTTAATTTAAAATTCTTTAATTTTTTACACTTTTTGTTTTAAAATTTTTCATTTCCATCTTTTCGATTTCCCGAATTTTCGATGTTTCAGTTTTTCAATTTTTCGACTTTTCGACTTTTCAAATTTTAGATTTTTCAATTTTCTAGTTTTTCGATATTTCGATTTTTCATTTTTTAAATTTCCCAAATTTTCTTGGTGTCAGTGTGGAATTTTTTAATTTCGCGATGTATCAGTTTTTTGATTTTTCAATTTTCCGATTTTTAGGTTTCCCAATTGGGATTTTTCAATTTTTAGATTCTTCAGTTTTTCTCTATTTTCCACTTTCTGGATCTTCCGATTTTTCGATTTTTTTGATATTTCATTTTCCCGATTTTTCGATTTTTCAGTTCTTCAGTGCTTCTATTTCTTCATTTTTCTAATTCTTAAAATTCAGATGTTTCAGTTTTTTGATGTTTCGATTTCTCGATCTTTCGATTTTTCAATTTTTCGTTTTCTCTTTCACGCTTTCTCTATTTATCGATTTTTTTTAAGTTTTAAATTTTCAATTTTTCAATTTTTAACTTCTGGATTTTTCGATTTTAGGTTATTTCTGTTTTTCGATATTTTTCGGCTTCTCGACTTTTCTGTTTCTCGATTTCTCGACATTTCAGTTTTTCAATTTTTGGATGTTTCGATTTTGATTAGGTACTCGCTTTTTTCCATTTTTCGATTTTCGGGTTCAAAAAACTTTAAAATCTAAAATTGAAAAACTAAAATCGAAAAATTGAAAAATAGAAGTATCGAAGAACTGAAAATCGAAAAAGTTAAAGAAAAATGAAAAATTTGAAAATCTAAAAACGAAAAATAGACTTTTCAATTTCTCTATTACTCCCATGTTTCAGTTTTTTAATTTTTGGATGTTTCGATTTTTTGATTTCTCGCTTTTTCGGCTTTGCAGTTATTAGATTTCTCGATTTTTCAGTTATTCAGATTTTCGATTTCCCAATTTTTCGTCATTTTGGTTTTGAAATTTTTCAATTTATCCATTTTTAGTTTTTTGTCTCCTCAGTTTCCCAAATTTTTCAAATTTTCGATTTTTTTATTTTGAATTTTTCGATTTCTCGATTTTTTGATATTTTCGTTTTTTATATTGCATCAATTTTTTTTTAATTTAAATTTATCAGTTTTGTATTTTTAAATTTTCAATTTTTGACTTTTCGATTTTTCGGTTTTGGGTAATTTCTATTACTTCTCGACTTTCCAATGTCTCTATTACTCGATGTTTGAGTTTTTTCAATTTTTGGATGTTGCGTTTTTTTGGTTTATGGCTTTCTCGATTTTTCGATTTTTTTTTCAGTTTTTCCATTTCTCAATTTTTCGTCATTTCAGTTTTGGACTGTTTCAATTTATCGATTTTTTAATTTAAAATTCTTTAATTTTTTACACTTTTTGTTTTAAAATTTTTCATTTCCATCTTTTCGATTTCCCGAATTTTCGATGTTTCAGTTTTTCAATTTTTCGACTTTTCGACTTTTCAAATTTTAGATTTTTCAATTTTCTAGTTTTTCGATATTTCGATTTTTCATTTTTTACATTTCCCAAATTTTCTTGATTTTAGTGTGGATTTTTTTAATTTCGCGATGTTTCCAATTGGGATTTTTCAATTTTTAGATTCTTCAGTTTTTCTCTATTTTCCACTTTCTGGATCTTCCGATTTTTCGATTTTTTTGATATTTCAATTTCCCGATTTTTCGATTTTTCAGTTCTTCAATGCTTCTATTTCTTCATTTTTCTAATTCTTAAATGTTAGATTTTTCAGTTTTTTGATGTTTCGATTTCTCGATCTTTCGATTTTTCAATTTTTCGTTTTCTTTTTCACACTTTCCCTATTTATCGATTTTTTTTAAGTTTTAAATTTTAAATTTTTCAATTTTTAACTTCTGGATTTTTCGATTTTAGGTTATTTCTGTTTTTCGATATTTTTCGGCTTCTCGACTTTTCTGTTTCTCGATTTCTCGACATTTCAGTTTTTCAATTTTTGGATGTTTCGATTTTGATTACTCGCTTTTTTCCATTTTTCGATTTTCGGGTTCAAAAAACTTTAAAATCTAAAATTGAAAAATTAAAAACGAAAAATGGAAAAATCCAAACTCGAAAATTTTAAAAATCGAAAAATTGAAAAATCAGATAATTGAAAAATCGAAACATCGAAAAACTGGAAAATCGCAAAACCGAAAATCCGAAAAGTGAAAAATCGAAAAACCGAAAAATGAAAGAAAAACTGAAGAATGGATAAACTGAAAAATCTCAAAACTGAAATGTCCAAAAGAGTGAAGTCGAAAAATCGAAACCTTAGAAAAAATCGAAAAATTGAGAAATCAAAAAATCAAAAAAGTGAAGTCGAAAAATCGAAACCTTAAAAAATAGCAAAAAATAGTAAAATCGAAAAATTGAATAATAGTCTGAAAAATCCCCAAACTGAAATTTCGAAAAATTGAAAAATGAAAGAAAAACAGAAGAATGGAAAAACTGAAGAACCTCAAAACTGAAATATCCAAAAACCGAGGAATTAAAAAATTGAAATATTGAGAAATCAAAAAGTCAAAAAAGTGAAGTCGAAAAATCAAAACTTTAAAAAATTGTAAATCCAAAAACCTAAAAAATTGAAAAATTGAAGAAATGAAAAATCGAAAAACTGGGAGTTATAAAAGTAAAATTTGAAAAATTGAAAAATCAAAATATTTAAAAATCGTAAAATTGAAGAGGAGAATAATTGGGAAAACAAAATTGAAAACTCGGAAAATTGAGAAATCGAAAAATTGAATAATAAATAAACTAGAAAAATTCCAAAACTGAACTATCCAAAAACTGAAAAATTGAAAACCTGAGAAATCTAAAAATCAAAAAAGTGAAGTCGAAAATTGAAAAATCAAAAATCTGAAAAGTAAAAAATCGAAAAACCGAGAAACCGAGACACCGAAATAGGCCAAAATCGAAAAATCCAAAAGTCAAACAAAAAAACAAACATCCAAATCCCGACAAATTGAGGAATCAAAATATATAAAAATTCGAAAAATATAAAAAGTGAAATATCGAGAAATCGAAAGATCATAAGATCGAAAAATTGAGAAACCGAAATAGGCAAAAATCGAAAAACTGAAAAGTTGAAAGTTAAATCATTTGAAAATCGAAAAATCCAAAATCGGAAAAATAGAAAAAACTAAAAACTTTCTGATCGAAAAATTTACAATTTAAAAATCGAAAAGTAAAAAAATCGACACATCGAAAAATCCAGAAGTCAAAAATCGAAAGTCGAAGAAACGAAATATTGAAAAATCCCAAAACTGAAAAAGGAAAGATAAACTGAAGAATGGATAAATTGAAAAAACTCAAAACTGAAATATCCAAAAGATCGAAAAATTGAGAATTTAGAAAAGTCTAAAATTAAAAAATCGAAAAATCGAAATATTTAAAAATCGTAAAATTGAAGAGGAGAAAAATTGAAAAAACGTGAAACGAAACATTGGAAAATTGAAAATGGAGAAATTGAAACATTGAGAAATTGTAAAATCGAAAAATTGAAAATAAATAATTTGAAAAATCCCAAAACTGAAATTTCGAAAAATTGAAAAATGAAATAAAAACAGAAGAACGGATAAACTGAAGAATCTCAAAACTGAAATATCCAAAAACCGAGGAATTAAAAATTGAAATATTGAAAAATCAAAAATCTGAAAAGTAAAAAATCGAAAAACCGAGAAACCGAGACACCGAAATAGGCCAAAATCGAAAAATCCAAAAGTCAAACAAAAAAACAAACATCCAAATCCCGACAAATTGAGGAATCAAAATATATAAAAATTCGAAAAATATAAAAAGTGAAATATCGAGAAATCGAAAGATCATAAGATCGAAAAATTGAGAAACCGAAATAGGCAAAAATCGAAAAACTGAAAAGTTGAAAGTTAAATCATTTGAAAATCGAAAAATCCAAAATCGGAAAAATAGAAAAAACTAAAAACTTTCTGATCGAAAAATTTACAATTTAAAAATCGAAAAGTAAAAAAATCGACACATCGAAAAATCCAGAAGTCAAAAATCGAAAGTCGAAGAAACGAAATATTGAAAAATCCCAAAACTGAAAAAGGAAAGATAAACTGAAGAATGGATAAATTGAAAAAACTCAAAACTGAAATATCCAAAAGATCGAAAAATTGAGAATTTAGAAAAGTCTAAAATTAAAAAATCGAAAAATCGAAATATTTAAAAATCGTAAAATTGAAGAGGAGAAAAATTGAAAAAACGTGAAACGAAACATTGGAAAATTGAAAATGGAGAAATTGAAACATTGAGAAATTGTAAAATCGAAAAATTGAAAATAAATAATTTGAAAAATCCCAAAACTGAAATTTCGAAAAATTGAAAAATGAAATAAAAACAGAAGAACGGATAAACTGAAGAATCTCAAAACTGAAATATCCAAAAACCGAGGAATTAAAAATTGAAATATTGAAAAATCAAAAAGTCAAAAAAGTGAAGTCGAAAAATCAAAACCTTAAAAAATTGTAAAATCAAAAACCTAAAAAATTGAAAAATTGAAAAATTAAAGAAATGAAAAATCGAAAAATTAAAGAGGAGAAAAATTGGGGAAACAAAATTGAAAACTCGAAAAATTGAGAAACGAAGGCAAAACTAGAAAAATTCCAAAACTGAAATATCCAAAAACTGAAAAATTAAAAAAACTGAGAAATATAAAATCAAAAAAGTGAAGTCGAAAATTGAAAAATCAAAAATCTGAAAAGTAAAAAATCGAAAAACGGAGAAATCGAGAAGTCGACAAATCGAAAAATTGAGACACCGAAATAGGCCAAAATCGAAAAATTGAAAAGCTAAACAAAAAACAAACATCCAAATCCCTATAAATCGCGAAATCAAAATATTAAAAAATTTGAAAAATTGAAAAATTGAAATATTGAGAAATCGAAAGATCAAAAGATCAAAAAATTGAGAAACCGAAATAAGCTAAAATCTAAAAACCAAAATCTTGAAAGTTAAAAAATTTGAAAATCGAAAAAAAAAATCGGAAAAATAGAAAAACGAAAAACTTTCCGTTTTCCGTTTTTTCGTTTTTTTACATTTAAAAGACGAAAAATTGAAAAACAGAAAATCTAAAACCAGGAAGCCGAAAAATCGGAAGACTAAAAAATCAAAACATTTGAGAAATCGAAAAATCTACAATTTAAAAATCGACACATCGAAAAATCCAAAAGTCAAAAATCGAAAAGTCGAAAAATCGAAATATTGAAAAATCCCAGAACTGAAAATGAAAGAAAAACTGAAGAAACTGAGAAAACTAAAAACTGAAATATCCAAAAGCTGAGAATCGAAAAAATTGAAAAATCGAACGTGAAGAAATGGGAAAATCAAAACATGGATTAATTGAAAAATGGAAAAATTGAGAATTTACAAAAGTGTAAAATTAAAAAACCGAAAAATCGAAATATTTAAAAATCGTAAAATTGAAGAGAAAAATTGAAAAAACATGAAACGAAACATTGGAAAATTGAAAATGGAGAAATTGAAACGTTGAGAAATTGCAAAATCGAAAAATTGAATAATAAATAATCTGAAAAATCCCAAAATTGAAATTTCGAAAAATTGAAAAAAGAAAGAAAAACAGAAGAATGAAAAAATTTAAATATCCAAAAACCGAGGAATTAAAAAATCGAAATATTGAGAAATCAAAAAGTCAAAAAAGTGAAGTCGAAAAATCAAAACCTTAAAAAAATGTAAAATCAAAAACCTAAAAAATTGAAAAATTGAAAAATTGAAAAATTGAAGAAATGAAAAATCGAAGAACTGAGAGTTTATAAAGTAAAATTTGAAAAATTGAAAAATCGAAATATTCCAAATATTTAAAAATTGAAGAAACAAAAAATTGAAGAAACGAAAAATGGAAACTCGGAAAATTGTAACTTGAAAAATTGTAATGTCGAAAAATTGAAGAAACAAAATTGAAGAAAAAATAAGTTGAAGAAACGAAAAATCAAAAGGAAAAATTGAAACCATGAACAATTGAAGAAATGAAAAGTGGTAACTCCAAAAATTGCAAATAGAAAAATTGAAGGAACGAAAAATAGAAAAATCAAAAATGTAAAGAGAAAAATTCAAAACTCGAAAAAATGCAACCGTGAAATTGCAGAAACTCAAAATATTTCAAATCGAAAAATTATAAAATTGAAGAACCGAAAAATAAGTTGGAGGAACGAAAAAACAATTTAAAAGTCAAACATTGATGAAACGAAGAACTGAAAAGTCAAAAAATTTGAATTAAATTCAATCAAAAGAAAAAATTGAAGACACGGAAAATTGAAGTCACGAATGATTGAAAAATCATAAAATTTAAAGACAAAAACTGAAAACTCGAAAAATTAAAACATAAAAATTTAGAACCCGAAAAATTGTAAAATCGAAAAATTGTTTGTGTTGAATTGAGTTGAAGAAATGATAAATTGAAGAACCGGAAAATTGAAGAAATTAAAAACTGAAGAAACGATAAGTTGAAGAAATACAAAGTTGAAAGGAAAAATTGAAGAAACGAAAAATGAAAACTCCAAAAATTGCAGTTTGAAAAATTGAAAAAACGGAAAATTAAAAAATTGAAAAAATGCAAATAGACAAATTGAAAACTTGAAAAATTGAAAAAACAAAATATTTAAAAATCCTAAAATTGAGGAGAAAAATTATGTAAACATAAAATTGAAAACTCGGAAAATTGAGAAATTGAAAAATTGAATAATAAATAAACTGAAAAATCCCAAAACTGAAATTTTGGAAAATTGAAGAAACGAACGATTGAAAAATCATAAAATCCAAACACAAAAATTGAAAACTCGAAAAATTAAAATATTAACAAATCGCAAAATCGAAAAATTATAAATAGATAAATTGAAGAAATGAAAATCCGAAAAATCGAAAAATTGTAATTGGAAAAGTTGAAGAAATGAAAAATTGAAAAATTTTTATTAATCGAAAAACTGAAAAATCCAAAAATTGCAAACAGAAAAATTTAAAACCCGAAAAATTGTAAAATCGAAAAATTGTAAAACAAAATATTGAAGAAACGAAGAGTTGAAGAAAGGAAAAATTGAAGAAACGGAAAATGAAAACTCCAAAAATTGCAGGTTGAAAAATTGAAAAAACGGAAAAATAAAACATTTAAAAAAATGCAAATAGAAAAATTGAAAACTTGAAAAATTGAAAAATCAAAATATTTAAAAATCGTAAAATTGAAGAGGAGAAAAATTACGAAAACAAAATTCAAAGCTCGGAAAATTGAGAAATCGAAAAATTGAATAATAAATAAACTGAAAAATCTCAAAACTGAAATTTTGAAAAACGAAGGAAAAACTGAAAAATTCTAAAACTGAAATATCCAAAAACTGAAAAATTGAAAAACTGAGAAATCCAAAAATCAAGAAAAGTGAAGTCGAAAATTGAAAAATCAAAAATCTGAAATATCGAAAAATTGAGAAATCGAAAGATTGGAAATAGAAATGTTTCCATGGTAGTTTCTTGTAAAGAATTAAGCATTATGCATTTCGATTCACAACGAATAAAAACGTTATCACAACTGGGACGAGGGCGGGTGGGCGGGGTTTGTATTTGGCCTTTTTTTTTAACGTACGTATTTTTTTTCCACGACAAAAAACTGAAAACATGTTTAAAAGGGTAAATTTGTGGAGAAGTGTGGGGGATAAAATTTATCATTTTAAACATGTTTTTAGTTTCTTGTTGTGAAGTAAAGACTATGTATGTTAAGAAGAAAAAAAAAAGGAAATATAAGCCCCGCCCACCCACCCTATTTCAATTGTGACGATTTTTCTTTGTTCGACGTTAGTTATTGGGGGCGGAACTTCACTGCAAAATCGGTATTTCCTGTTTTAAACATTTTTTTAATTTTTGGTTGCGAAAAAAAGACCGCGAATATAAAAAAAAAAGGGAAAATATAAAGGGATAAATAAAAACCAAGCGTGTAATAAAAATAAATCATTCTCGTGTATTAATACTACATTAGGCTACAACTAAAGGAATTCTGCTTCATAGTCACTTAACATTGAACAGTCTTCTGGCGAGACTTGATATAGTTGCATTGTCGAACACACTGTTTACATACTACAAAAAAAGCTATTTCAAACAGTCAATTCAATTTCGTCCTACTCACATTCTTGACTTGTTCCTCGATCGGTTTCTTAATATCGGGCCACAACAGATCGATAGCTTCCGGTGCCATTTTCGAAATTGCCTTATTAAATAGCTCCCCGATTTCCTCGTCGTGCATAAAATTGTCAAAGTGATTCTACAAAATCGATTTATAAACTAGCAACCCTCAATCCAGAATCCATTACCTCCAGCTTCCTCAACTTAATATTAATAAACAAAGACGTTAACTTCAACTTGAGGTGGTCGAACTGGATCACCGTCGAAATGGCCAGTTTAAAATCGATCAGATTCAACCTTCGAAAACTCGCTAAGCAATCTACTTAAGTACTTAGTTTAGTGTGGTTTACCACAACTCGCCCTCGCCGAAAATGGGAATGGAATCCCCGACGAGTCCGTTGAGCTTGTAGAAGCCGTCGATGGTTAAACGCGGGAAGAGGAGAAAAATTGAAAAAACGCAAAACGAAACATTGGAAAATTGAAAATGGAGAAATTGAAACATTGAGAAATTGCAAAATCGAAAAATTGAATGATAAATAATCTGAAAAATTCCAAAATTGAAATATCCAAAAACTGAAAAATTGAAAAACTAAGAAATCTAAAAATCAAAAAAGTGAAGTCGAAAATCGAAAAATCAAAAATCTCGAAAAGTAAAAAATCGAAAACCGAGAAATGGAGAAGTCGACAAATCGAAAAATTGAGACACCGAAATTGGCCAAAATCGAAAGATTGAAAAGTTAAACAAATAAACAAACATCCAAATCTCGATAAATCGAGAAATCAAAATATTTAAAAATTCGAAAAATTGAAAAAGTGAAATATTGAAAAATCGAAAGATCAAAAAATCGAAAAATTGAGAAACCGAAATAGGCTAAAATCGAAAAACCGAAAAGTTGAAAGTTAAATAACTTGAAAATCGAAAAATCTAAAATCGGGTAAATAAAAAAACGAAAAACTTTCTGATCGAAAAATTTACAATTTAAAAATCGAAAAGTAAAAAAATCGACACATCGAAAAATCCAGAAGTCAAAAATCGAAAGTCGAAGAATCGAAATATTGAAAAATCCCAAAACTGAAAAAGGAAAGATAAACTGAAGAATGGATAAACTGAGAAAACTAAAAACTGAAATATCCAAAAGCTGAGAATCTAAAATATTGAAAAATCGAACGTGAAGAAATGGGAAAATCAAAACATGGATTAATTGAAAAATGGAAAAATTGAGAATTTACAAAAGTGTAAAATTAAAAAACCGAAAAATCGAAATATTTAAAAATCGTAAAATTGAAGAGGAGAAAAATTGAAAAAACGTGAAACGAAACATTGGAAAATTGAAAATGGAGAAATTGAAACATTGAGAAATTGTAAAATCAAAAAATTGAATAATAAATAATCTGAAAAATGCCAAAACTGAAATTTCGAAAAATTGAAAAATGAAAGAAAAACAGAAGCATGGAAAAACTGAAGAATCTCAAAACTGAAAGATCCAAAAACCGAGGAATTAAAAAGTTGAAATATTGAGAAATCAATAAGTCAAAAAAGTGAAGTCGAAAAATCAAAACCTTAAAAAATTGTAAAATCAAAAACCTAAAAATTTGAAAAATTGAATAATTCAAGAAATAAAAAATCGAAAAACTGAGTTTATGAAAGTAAGATTCGAAAAATTGAAAAATCAAAATATTTAAAAATCGTAAAATTGAACAGGAGAAAAATTGGGAAAACATAAAATTGAAGGCTCGGAAAATTGAGAAACGACGACAAAACTAGAAAAATTCCAAAACTGAAGTATCCAAAAACTGAAAAATTGAAAAACTGAGAAATCTAAAAATCAAAAAAGTGAAGTCGAAAATTGAAAAATCGAAAAATCGCGAAATGGAGAAGTCAACAAATCGAAAAATTGAGACACCGAAATTGGCCAAAATCGAAAAATTGAAAAGTTAAACAAAAAACAAACATCCAAATCCCTATAAATCGTGAAATCAAGATATTTAAAAATTCGAAAAATTGAAAAATTGAAATATTGAGAAATCGAAAGATCAAAAGATCGAAAAATTGAGAAACCGAAATAGGTTAAAATCGAAAAACCGAAAAGTTGAAAGTTAAATAATTTGAAAATCGAAAAATCTAAAATCGGAAAAATAAAAAATCGAAACATTTTCCGTTTTTTCGCTTTTTTATATTTAAAAGACGAAAAATTGAAAAAATGAAAATCTAAAACCAGGAAGCCGAAAAATGCAAAGATTAAAAAATCAAAACCTTTGAGAAATCGAAAAATCTACAATTTAAAAGAAGAAAAAGTAAAAAAATCGACACATCGAAAAATCCAGAAGTCAAAAATCGAAGAGTCGATCAATCGAAATACTGAAAGATGAAAGAAAAACTGAAGAATTGAAAAACTGAAAAATCCAAAAAGCGAGGAAATAAAAAATTCAAATATTGAGAAATCAAAAAGTAAAAAAAGTGAAGTCGAAAAATCAAAACCTTAAAAATTGTAAAATCGAAAACCTAAAAAATTGAAAAATTGAAAAATTGAAGAAATGAGAAATCGAAAAACTGGGAGGTTGTGAAAGTAGAATTTGAAAAATTGAAAAATCAAAATATTTAAAAATTTAAAAACAAAAAAATTGAAGAAACGAAAAATTGAAGAAACGAAAAATGGAAACTCGGAAAATTGTAACTTGAAAAATTGTAATGTGGAAAAATTGTAATGTCGAAAAATTGAAGAAACGAAGAATTGAAGAACCTAAAAATCGAAGAAACCAAACACTGTAGAAACGATAAGTTGAAGAAATAAAAAGCGGAACGTTGAAAAACATCAAAATGTTGCAAACTGAGAAATTGAAGAAAAAATAAGTTGAAGAAACGAAAAATTAAAAGGAAAAATTGAAGCCACGAAAAATTGAAGAAGTGAAAAGTGGTAACTCCAAAAATTGCAAATAGAAAAATTGAAGAAACGAAAAATTGTAAAATCAAACACCTAAAAAATTGAAAAATTGAATAAATGAGAAATCGAAAGACTGGGAGTTTGTGAAAATAGAATTTGAAAAATTGAAAAATCAAAATATTCAAAAATTTAAAAACAAAAAAATTGAAGAAACGAAAAATTGAAAAAACAAAAAATTGAAGAAACGAAAAATGGTAACTCGGAAAATTGTAACTTGAAAAATTGTAATGTCGAAAAATTGAAGAAATGAAAAATTGAAGAACCTAAAAATCAAAGAAACCAAAAACTCCAGAAACGATAAGTTGCAGAAATGAAAAGTGGTAACTCCAAATATTGCAAATAGAAGAATTGAAGGAACGAAAAATTGAAAGATCAAAAATGTAAAGAGAAAAATTGAAAACTCGAAAAATGCAACCGTGAAACTGCAGAAACTGAAAATATTTCAAATCGAAAAATTATAAAATTGAAGAACCGAAAAATCAAAGAAACCAAAAATTGTAGAAACGATAACTTGAAGGAACGAAAACACAATTTAAAAGTTCAAAAATTGTAGAAATGAAACTGAAAAGTCAAATAAATTGAATTTAATTCAATCAAAAGGAAAAATAGAAGACACGGAAAATTGGAGAAACGATTGAAAAATCATAAAATCTCGAAAAATTAAAATATTAAAATTGTAATTGGAAAAGTTGAAGAAATGAAAAATTGAAAAATTTTTATTAATCGAAAAACTGAAAAATCCAAAAATTTAAAACCCGAAAAATTGTAAAATCGAAAAATTGTAAAACAAAATATTGAAAATCGATAAGTTGAAGAAACGCAAAGTTGAAAGGAAAAATTGAAGAAACGAAAAATGAAAACTCAAAAAATTGCAGTTTGAAAAATTGGAAAAACGGAAAAATAACAAATTAAAAAAAAATGCAAATCGAAGAATTGAAAACTTGAAAAATTGAAAAATCAAAATATTTAAAAATCGTAAAGTTGAAGAGGAGAAAAATTGGGAAAACATAAAATTCAAAACTCGGAAAATTGAGAAATCGAAAAATTGAGAAACTGAAAAATCCCAAAACTGAAATTTCGAAAAATTGAAAAACGACGGAAAAACTGAAAAATTGAAAAACTGAGAAATCTAAAAATCAAAAAAGTGAAGTCAAAAATTGAAAAATCAAAAATCTGAAATATCGAAAAATTGAGAAATCGAAAAATTGAAAATAGAAGTGTTTCCATGGTAGTTTCTTGTAGAGAATTAAGCATTTTGCAAAAACTCCGCCCTTCGATTCACAACGAATAAAAACATTAGCACAACTGGAATGAGGGCGGGTGGGCGGGGTTTGAATTTGGCCTTTTTTTTCTTAACGTACGTATTTTTTTTTTCCACGACAAAAAATTGAAAACAAGTTTAAAAGGGTAAATTTGTATAGAAGTGTTAAGAAGAAAAAAAGGAAATATAAGCCCCGCCCACCCACCCTATCTCAATTGTGACGATTTTTCTTTGTTTGACGTTAGTTATTGGGGGCGGAACTTAACTGCAAAATCGGTATTTCCTGTTTTAAACATTTTAAGTTTGTTGTTGCGAAAAAAAGATTACGAATATTAAGAAAAAAAAAAATTAAAGGGATAAATAAAAACCAAGCGTGTAATAAAAATAAATCATTCTCGTGTATTAATACTACATTAGGCTACAACTAAAGGAATTCTGCTTCATATTCACTTAACATTGAACAGTCTTCTGGCGAGACTTGATATAGTTGCATTGTCGAACACACTGTTTACATACTAGAAAAAAAGCTGTTTCAAACAGTCAATTCAATTTCCTCCTACTCACATTCTTGACTTGTTCCTCGATCGGTTTCTTAATATCGGGCCACAACAGATCGATAGCTTCCGGTGCCATTTTCGAAATTGCCTTATTAAATAGCTCCCCGATTTCCTCGTCGTGCATAAAATTGTCAAAGTGATTCTACAAAATCGATTTATAAACTAGCAACCCTCAATCCAGAATCCATTACCTCCAGCTTCCTCAACTTAATATTAATAAACAAAGACGTTAGCTTCAACTTGAGGTGGTCGAACTGGATCACCGTCGAAATGGCCAGTTTAAAATCGATCAGATTCAACCTTCGAAAACTCGCTAAGCAATCTACTTAAGTACTTAGTTTAGTGTGGTTTACCAGAACTCGCCCTCGCCGAAAATGGGAATGGAATCCCCGACGAGTCCGTTGAGCTTGTAGAAGCCGTCGATGGTTAAACGTGGGAAGGTCAGGTTCAAGTCCAGCTTGTACCTCAGCCCGCCCAAATCCTTGAACTTTTCGTCGTCGATGACGAACTTGGAGATGTGCCGGACTGTTACGTCTTGGACGTTACCTTTAAGGCTGCGGAAAGTGAGAAAATCGGTTTAAGGGGAGGCTTTACCCTGCCGCGTCGTGGACGACGTCGAATTCGATTTTTTCGATGTGGAGCGGGTCGAGGATGGGGATGCTGAGTTCCGGGATTCCCCGGAGGGTTAGTTTGCGGAACTCCTTCGAAGCTTCGAAAAACTGGAAAATCGAAAAACCGAAAA